GGGTCGTAGTTCGCTCCGAAACGCTCGGCCGTCTCCAGCAAAGCTCTGCCTGCTAGGTATGGCGATGCACGGATGCCAAACGCCAACCTGGTGAACTCATAGGCCTTGACTCCGTCCCCGGTCTTCCAAAGAAATCGGTGATATCTGCGATCCTCAGGCTGTAGTGATACCTGAAGGAACATCTCCGACACATCAGCAATCAGTGCCACAGGGTGCATGCAGAACCGGATCAGTACTGTGACGAGGTCATTCTGCAGTCGTGGCCCAGCGTACATGTGTTCATTGATGGACGTGCCGTTGAAGCGAGCTGCAGCATCAAACACAACACGGACCTTAGTTGTAGCCTTGTCTTCGCGGACTACTGCGAAGTGCGGCAGAAACCATTGCGCACGGCCACATTGCTGGACTTGATCAGATGTCAGCTCCTGAATGTACGCCTTCTGTAGGTACTCCTCTAGCACTTTTGCATAGCGAATCTGAACGGTTGGTCTTCTCTCTAGAGACCTCAGTAGCGAACGCAGCCGATCCTCGGCCTGCACTCGGTTGCTCGTGATCTGAGGACGCGCTCCATTCTGCCAGGGAATACCGACAACGAATCGACCATCTGCGTACCCTAGCTGCTGTCGAGTCATTTCCTCAGCATGGCGTTCGTCAGGTGACAGGTAGCTCTCAGCAGACGGTTGCATGCCGACCGCTTCCAAGTCCCAGAAGTTACGGACAAGCGAGTCGAGGCCTGTCTGTGTTAGTTCCAGGGCATGATGGGTGTGCTGGACAGAGCTGTCTTGTATGGCTGAACCGAAACAGACCCATCCCAAGGGTGTGCGCCTTGCAATGGGCTCACCTGCCTTGCCAATCCGTTCTTCCTGTGCACTGTGCAGTGCTGCTGAATTTAGCCCGATTAGGATGTCGATGGCGCGTTGATTGCTTGCAGCAGGGAAATCAATGTCTGCTAGATGTGGCCACTGGTGACGCAGACGGCTCCAATCAGCAACGTGCACGTCGCTTGTGATCTTTGGCAGCACATATGCCTCAACTTCTGATATCTCCTGGCTGTCATATTGATGAAGGGACAGAGACACCACCTCTCGCTCGCCTGAGAGAACTTGACCGCCTAGCACACCAACATGCACTGGCTTGCGCTCTCCTCGCAGCCGTAGTCGGTGTGCAAGCCTCTCTGTGACAAAGCTGCATGTTGATCCAGAGTCAAGAAGGACGTTGGCTGTGGCAGTCACTGTTCCATTTGCGACCCTCACCGGTATCGTCATGAATGAGGTCAAGCCGGCCTCGTCGTCATTGGCTGGCTGGGATTCGCTGTTCACATGGTGGCTAGCCTCTTTTCGCGTTGGTGGTGATGGTGTAAAACTGCCTTGTCGTTCACGGTGCAGTAAATGATGATGCTTGCCTTGACACTCTCGGCACACCGCTGCCATGCAGTCTCGTGCCCAGTGCCCATCTCCCAGGCAGTTGACGCATAGCCGTAGGTTCCGGATCGTGTCATTTCTCTTTTGCACGGGCAGACTCTTGAATTCGCCACAATCTGCAATATGGTGTGCACCCTCGCACTTACCACAGGCATGGCTGTTGTCTGCATGCTGTCTTTGCTCTGAGGCAGCTTGCTCTTTTCTGGAGTTGCTGCGGCTGCTAGAAGCGACCAAGTTACGTTTCGGCCCAGGCTGTGACGAGTCGCTTGATCGTGGAGTCCCAGGACTGGAGATAAACGTACGCTCCCTGACTCCATATTGCCTGCTGGGCAACGGCCGATTACTCTTGTTTTGGTGCTCCTTGGGCTGCAGTGATACTGGTGGGCGGTCTCCCAGGCCAATTCGTTCCTCAACACGCATCTGCTTCTGGACGTGTGTTATTAGGAATTGCGAGAATGCCTGTATGTCACAGCTGGAATCATCATAACGATCGAAGTAGCGTGCCAGGAGCCGTCGAGGAATCTTCCGGGTTAGCGCCAGGTATAACTCTCTGCCTGGCTGCACCTGGACTGCTTCCATGTTAAGCAGGGTATTGCGGAGCCGAATGGCGAACTTTTTCAGCTGGCTGACGTCACGCTCATTGGTCAAGACTGGCCACTCCATGAGCTCTCTTTCCTGGTTGTTCAGCTCTCGGTCTTGGCCACCGTACCAGCGTTCCAACTCGGCCATGATTGCTTTATATGCGCCAGGTCCATCCAAGACATCAGCAATCAGCTCCTCTGCAGAACCATCAGCAAGGGCCTCCCTCAGATGCGCAAGCTTGTGGTTCTCCGACATCGCGTAACTGTCGTCAATCAGCCGAAGGAAACGCTGCCGCCACTTCAGGTAGCTTTTCACCTTCCCATCAAACTTGGGCAGCTCTAACGCCTTCAGGTGACTGGTAACAGCATAAGGCGAGTTCCATGGCATGAATCCAGGCGATGCCATCTGGTGTCCAGGCAGTGCCAGCTGAGGTCCAGGCAACAGTGTTTGCTTCGCTGGTTGGAACGGCACTGCTCCAGGGTTGAGTGAGAGTGTCTCAGTCATGGCACTGCACAGTGAAGCTGCTTGCTCGGCTTTGTCCTTGTTCTTTTGTCGTTTTTCCAATTTTTTCTTCTTCGGAGTCAGCAGTCTTCTCGGTGCAGCGGGGCTTGGCTGGGCCTGTCCACTTGCTTCCAGCAGCATTGGACGCACGGCGCTACCAAGCACATGGACTTGCTGCAGCTGCTGCTGCCGTGGCGGCGGCTGCTGCTGCTGCGACGGCGGCTGCTGCTGCTGCGACGGCGGCTGCTGCTGCTGCTGCTGCTGCTGCATATGTACTGGCTGGGTAGTGCAGGCAGCTCCGCCTCTGGACGCAACTCCTGCGTTGGCCAGAGCACATGTACCAACACGCCTGGAAGCAGGCCCATAGTGACTAACAGTACTACTATCAGTGTGGCTGTTATCACTTTCACCACTACTGGCGTTAGTTGTAGTTCCAGTAGTTGTAGAGTCACCAGCAGTGTCACTACTTGAGGCGCTACTGGATGACACATAGTGGTCTGACTCTTCAGACACACCGTCAACGACGTCCGGGACATTCTGCGATAGCTGAGCAGCTGCTGTTCCTGCTACCAGTGTATTCACATTTTCAACACTGGTGCGCGCGAGTGGTAACGGAGGATCAGTCGTAAACCTACTTCCGGTAACTGCACTGTCCGACTCCGCTCGTGGTGGCATACAAGATCGTAGAGTCGCACTTGCGCCGTCACGACTTCGTTGGAAGACCACGTCCCCGTCCGAAGCAATTTCTCTACGAGGCGACGGGCTAGCTCCTGCCGCCGACTCGTGCGCAGATTCTTCTTCGGAACGAGCTTGCTCCAAGGCTTGCCGTTTCTGCAGGACAGCTAACTTACCCTGCAGAACTTGTTCCTGCAGTGCAGCAATCTCTTCTGCCACTCGCACTTCGGCCTCTGCCCTTTTTCTGGCCACTCGAGCTCTCTCCAATTCTACGAGTTCAGTGCTCCCAGGACTGGCACGAGTACTCGAGCGCTCACTTCCAGAAAATCCATATCGCCTGGGTTCCTTTCCTTTCGTCGATCTGTGGCTGATACGCCGCTCCTCACTCATGGCGACGACTCTCAGCAACCACGGAAAGGCAAAAGGATCCCGTCGGAGGTGCCAGTTTATGTTACTTTTCCTCAGCGCCCAGGTCAACACACTTTCGTCAACACCGGGTTTCCGCACACAATCGAATCACAGTTCAGTTTTACTCCACTCCGGAGAACACAATTATTCAGACCCATGGAACATAGTAAAATCACAACAGCTACAAACTTTGTAGAATCTAGAGCTCAGGTCCAACACAACAAGAACCAAAACATTACCACGCGGCCAGCAACATGTGCATGCGAACAACAACTCACAGAACCAAAGGCACATGCTTCCAAAACCAATACACACTCCGGCCCGGCCGGCCCGTGTCGCATATGCCAGCGATACATGCATAAAAGGAAGTACAGTGAGAAGGAAGTAACGCAGGTCACATGAAAGCGCGTAGCATTCCCACGTGTAAGCTAACACGCACCACAAATCACGTATCACAGACACAGGGCCTAGGGCACAACTGCAACTGTCTTTGTGGTCCACTTCACAACAATAACACACACAGAAGTCTCTGCTGTGAGCACGGTGGCTCGGCAATGGCGAAGTAAAAGCCACTGCGAAGTGACAGGAATGCGGTCCAGCACAACATTTTGCGGACGCAAAAAGTTGTGGGGAAATCCCAAAATCGGTGCGATTTTGCATGAGCCCAAATGTTCAGGTTACCCACAAAGACACAAGCTTTCCAACTCTCTTTGGCCGTTGGAAAGCGTACCGTGCACTACGAGCGTACGCACACATTCAAATACAGCTGTAGACACGCACTGCATAAATCTACAAGTACTCGTACAAACTGTGCAGGTCAGCGACACCTGCAGCATCTGCTGGAACAATGGCACAAGCACAAGGGAGTACTAAGAGTAAGAAAACGTAACAGTTGTTGTTGTTGTTGTTGTTGTTGTTGTTGTTGTTGTTGTTGTTGTTGTTGGTGGTGGTGGTGGTGTTGCTGTTGCTGTTGCTGTTGCTGTTGCTGTTGCTGTTGCTGTTGCTGTTGCTGTTGTTGTTGTTGTTGTTGTTGTTGTTGTTGTTGTTGTTGTTGTTGTTGTTGTTGTTGTTGTTGTTGTTGTTGTTGTTGTTGTTGCTGTTGCTGTATACTAAGTCTTTATTTGGCTGGATGGCAGACTTTCACATCACGACACATGGCTCAAAAGGTTACACTAGCAAACAGTGCAAAGCTATCCCCACGGAGTTGTACGCAGAGCAAGGTTCTGCACAACCCCGTACCAAAGCAGGGTTGCGTACAACCTTGTAGCTACCATACACAGGGTGAAAATAGTGTGTTACGGGTCTGTCCCGTGATGTGAAGGTCTGCCGTCCATAGTATCCAGAGTATATTGTCCACAGACAGAATGCCAGGCAAGATATGGCTGCCGTACTGGGATCTCACTCTCTACTTACCAGCAGTAGAAAGTTGAGGATAATAATGAGCGGAAGGTGAATGCCTATCACCAGCCATGGCCACCTGCGTCCAGCCAGTAGCAACAGCGGAATCTCTATCATCATGCCCACTTGCCAAAGTGTCTGCACATACCGATAAGGACACGCACATACGCCAAGGCACACAGGAAAGAAGATGGCCAGTTCGAAGCTGTGACATAAAGGACTCGTCATACTCAAGATACCATTACACTTCACAGGCTGCGCTAATCAACTTCACACGATCAGCTAGGTAGCTTCACGGTGGAGAACTGGCAATATCACGGGTTTCTTACCACCATCGTCAGCAGTGCTTCCTGATGTCGGCGAATTGGTAAACTTTCAAACATCCACGTTGTCCTGAGCAGAGACCAACACGGCACAGGCAACTTGTATTAGCCCAGGGGTTAGTGGCTCAGTGCTAGTGATCCCAGTCAGGCTTGCTGTGACCAGGCTGCGTAAACATGAACGCCGGGCTGGCCTACAGTCTGACTGCAGGAGCAACCTATAATAATGAGACCCTGGTTTCAATGCGTGCACTGTGCTCACCACCCCCTCCTCACACCACCATTGCCTTCCCATTCAAAAGTCAAAGTCAGACAGGCCATTGTGCATCAGTATAAAGCACAAATGCTCCCTTTGACGCCATGCTCCCTTTGACGCCATACTCCCTTCCCATCTTCATACACTATTAACGTATCATGCTGCGCTCATCACACTACCACCAATACCACTAGTTCACTACCCTCATCACACTACCACCAATACCACTAGTTCACTACCCTCATCACACTACAGTGAAGCTTGGTTATAACGACACCCGAGATGGAACGCCAAAAAAGTCCTTATTTGCAATCTGTCACTATATCCGATCTTGGGATTTCCAACACAATATACACACCAAAACGCGGCAAAATTAATTTTCTGCACAATGGTGCTTTTTCAACTAAACACAAGGAGCGCTTCGTCCAACCCAGGAAAACTCGACTGCCTAGAGCTCTTGGCATCCATTGACGTCGCTTTCTTCACTTTGGCCACAATCTCCTCTCGGTTCTTGATGAAGCCAGCGAGAGTACCGTGCGCGACTCCATACTTTTCTTGAACGAATGTCCACTTTGCACCTTTGTCCAGCTCCTGCAGAATGGCGTACTTTTTCGCGTAGGAGAAGCGCTTTCGCTTTCCAACAGAGACAGGGCAAGACATCTCGAACTTCCAAGTCTTTGGTCCAACGACAACTGAGAAAGTGATTTCTCGGATAAAGAAGCATGGCGAATGGTGCGAAAATCCGTCGCAGAAGATACGGAACTTACGGAGGGTAAGTGCGCACTACACCTGTACACAGGACACGTATTTTACCGTCAGTAGATCTACGACATGTCGACACTCCTTCGAAGTTTCCGGGCGTGTACGAGTGTACAGTGCAGTGTAGTGTACAGTCGATGTACACTAGACTGCACTGTACGATCTTGTGCACCCGGCCCGCGGCAGCTGTGAAAGCCAGAATCGATCGTACATCGTACTTCGCAGTCGTGAGAATGTCGTTATTTTGACCCATTTTCACACTACGGTGCATGACAATTTGGTCGTTATTCTCGATTTGTCGTTATTCGAGTTGTCGTTGCAACCGATCTTTTTTGTACACAAATCAATACAAAATTGCTGCTGCCATGGATTTTTTGTCGTTGTAGCTGATCTGTCGTTATAACCAAGCTTCACCGTACCACCAATACCACTAGTTCACTACCCTCATCACACTACCACCAATACCACTAGGTCACTACCCTCATCGATCAGAAGCTGTGTGCGCTACTGGACAGTGCGCTATGAGCCGGCAGCTGTGAATTCTCCGAAAGATGACAGTACCCCGTGACAGGTACACTACACTGCATGTGGTACTTACCTGATGTTCATGCCGCCGATGGCAAAGCCGGACACAAACCTGAAGATCAGCAGCAGTGTACTGGTGTAGGTGAACAGGACTAGCGAGGAGACCACAACCAGTAGTGTTGTCGCTGCCACCAGGGACTGAACAATCAAGAAAACAACCCCACAGATGCATCCGTAAACCATGAATCCTTCGTATGCAGTAATGATAGATTAATAGTTTCTATTTGTTTTCTACATTGGACTACATGTATGTGTACCTCAAAATTGAACTGTACTCTGTAGATTGGCACAAGTATGATGCCCGCAGTACACTGAACCATGCAGTTGCACAGTATTAGCACTATAGAAATCCACACCATGATCCGACAGAAGACCAGCATGGCTAGTGCCAGTCAAGCAGCTTTGTGATAATTATAGCTAAAACAGTTTTGTTTTTTCACGGCTGAGCGTAGCAAAAGAGTGCAAAAAATGTATTTTTCACTCGCAAATATTTTCATGCGTTTGCTCTTGTTCTGCGCAACTCCGTTGAACCTGCCATCGTGGTCTTTGTTTTTCCTCGTGGCAGTTGAAGTTGCCCGCCCACCCACCCTGGTTTCAAGGGGGTCTTCCGCGGTTCTTCTTGATATTATACCAATGTGTGTGGCTTATGATTATGAAATACACTGGTTATTACATACCATTTCTTGCTGTCTCTATTCTTGGGTCCGACTGGCAGCGGGGCAGGAATTAATGAAATAGAAAGGTGTTTTGGCTGAAAGGCGTGTTTTCCTCTAGCCCGGTTGAGCGGTCGCGGCTAGGAATGTAGGGAGTCATTGTTTTCAGGCGCTCCCCTGCTGCCCAGTCACCCAGGCTCACCACTGGCCATGCTATTTCACTTGATTTCACGGCCTTTTCTCCCGCTTGCTGGCGGTTCTTTGATGGATTTAGATGTTTTTCGGCTATTTATCTATTATGTGGCTGCGAGTGTGGTTTTTTGCTTCTACTCATTTCTGGAAAACCACTACGGTGGTAAGTGTGATTGCTCTGGTAGACCACTACCCCATCTACTGAACAGTTGCTTTGTGAGTGAAAAACAAGCGTTTCTGTAGGTGACAGTTCCTTGAAGTGAACACATCCGCATCACAGGCACAATGAGAGACAGCTCCTGTTTGTTACGTAAGCAGTCTTGTGTTGCCCGCTACCAACGGCATGAGGCAAGGAACCTAAATATCATGTGAGTCATGATTACAGTGTACGATCATCGATAGAAAATACTAGGGGAGGACACGCATGGAAGCGTGGTACAAGCGATTAGAAGAGGTTGATTGCTAGCACAGTCATGTACTTACAGGTAATACACAGTCATGTACTTACAGGTAATACACAGTCATGTACTTACAGGTAATACACAGTCATGTACTTACAGGTAATACACAGTCATGTACTTACAGGTAATACACAGTCATGTACTTACAGGTAATACACTGATTCAAGTTGAAGTACAGTGAAACTACAGTGTAACGTGAGTCCAAGGGCAGAGGACAAATCTGTATATCTGTATATCCCATTATATGTCATAGCCAATGTACTTTCTATTGAAGTTCCACTGTATATCAACAGATGTACATAGAGAGTACAGTTTGACTGATACCTAATTTTGCTCTCTCAGTGACCTTACAGCCCAACGCCAATCATACCCTGCACTCACTATTCGCATTCCTCGCTTCTTTGCCATGGCAATCAGAACCCGTCGGGTATAGAAGAGCGCATGCTCCAGTGGTTCATTCTATATTACTCCACAAAACTATGAAAACCTGTCCTCTGAGAGTGCCTTCGGACTGTTTGACCCGAGCAGCTAACATTGGCAAGATACTTCTCCCCGCCGGCCACTGACCAAGCAATGCTTTAAAAGAGCACACCACAATCAATACTCTTACCAGCTTTCTTCCGGCGACGTCAGAGATAAAGCCAAATGCAAGCGACCCACAGAACAGACCTGCCAGGTATATCTGCAGGAAATTGAGAAAGGCAGACTGACACGTCATGCATAGCTCTGTGCTGTTATTTCGCATTGTCATTCTTGATCTTGTGCTCCTTGACACAACTGGTAGCTCATTTGATTTTCCAAAAAATATCCTTAACCTTTTGTTCTGTCCTATTTACATGCATTCACTGTTTCGTCACGTCTTCATGGAGCAGCCTATGTGAAGGATAGCCAAGGTTGCGTGGCGATGCCAACACGGAAAGGCTTATACTGTCAGACCTCGACTAACCGCACACACGCTACTGGGTCACTGAGGGTGTCACGTCGACTTGATTCTACCAATGTCACAGAGGCACGGAAACGCTAGCTACTTGCGGACTACTTCAAAATGGCTCCAGGACAGTCAATCGCAGGTTCAATTGTAACCAGACAACTTACCACAGAGACTAAAGTCTGCTCGACTAGAGAGAGATTGAAGTTACAGCCAGCATACATCGGTACAAACGTGAAGAACGTGGTGTCCATTCCGTGCACCAGCTGTATTCAACACACAATTCGTAGGAAGAACAGGATGCAACTGGGCCATACCGCATACACATGTACACTCCTATCTCTATTATCCAGACCTCGACACTTCTATCTCTATTATCCGGGAGGTATTCACAGTCTTAAAATACACTCTGACCACTGCCCTCACACCTGCATGCCCGTAATACCATGCATAACACCTGCATGCCGGTAATACAATGCATTATTTTAAATGTACAACTAGTGGCACTCTGACGGCCGATATTTTGCATTGCATGTAGTTGATTGGTGACCATACGGTGATAGCTGGCATTTTTTTACAGTACGTTGCAAACTAAGCTACCCAACCCCTATGGCACACGCATTGGGCGCTGAGTAGGAGAGTATCCAGATGAGTAGGAGAGTATCCAGATGAGTAGGAGAGTATCCAGATGAGTAGGAGAGTATCCAGATGAGTAGGAGAGTATCCAGTTGAGTAGGAGAGTATCCAGATGAGTAGGAGAGTATCCAGATGAGTAGGAGAGTATCCAGATGAGTAGGAGAGTATCCAGATGAGTAGGAGAGTATCCAGATGAGTAGGAGAGTATCCAGATGAGTAGAAAGTATCCAGATGAGTAGGAGAGTATCCAGATGAGTAGGAGAGTATCCAGATGAGTAGGAGAGTATCCAGATGAGTAGGAGAGTATCCAGATGAGTAGGAGAGTATCCAGATGAGTAGGAGAGTATCCAGATGAGTAGGAGAGTATCCAGATGAGTAGGAGAGTATCCAGATGAGTAGGAGATTATCCAGATGAGTAGGAGAGTATCCAGATGAGTAGGAGAGTATCCAGATGAGTAGGAGAGTATCCAGATGAGTAGGAGAGTATCCAGATGAGTAGGAGAGTATCCAGATGAGTAGGAGAGTATCCAGATGAGTAGGAGAGTATCCAGATGAGTAGGAGAGTATCCAGATGAGTAGGAGAGTATCCAGATGAGTAGGAGAGTATCCAGATGAGTAGGAGAGTATCCAGATGAGTAGGAGAGTATCCAGATGAGTAGGAGAGTATCCAGATGAGTAGGAGAGTATCCAGATGAGTAGGAGAGTATCCAGATGAGTAGGAGAGTATCCAGATGAGTAGGAGAGTATCCAGATGAGTAGGAGAGTATCCAGATGAGTAGGAGAGTGTCCAGATGAGTAGGAGAGTATCCAGATGAGTAGGAGAGTATCCAGATGAGTAGGAGAGTATCCAGATGAGTAGGAGAGTATCCAGATGAGTAGGAGAGTATCCAGATGATGGGGTCAATGAGACAATCTATGATAATCTACAATGCACAGCTGACCGTCATCCCTCCATTGGGAACCACTTGAAGAAAGGAATATCATAATGTTTTTTCAGAACTTTGAAGCTCCGCTGTAGCCTTGTCATCTTGTCACTACACCTCCAAGTCGCAACGCACGAAGTCCTTGGCTACGCCACGTACCACAATAATATTATTGTCTCCAACTTTTCACCCAGGGGAGCTTATTCTAGTTGGAGGTGTAGTGAAAAGGATATTGTAATACATGAATTTACTCTAAAAAGAAGTGACATTATTCTCCTTTTTAGTCGATATCATGTAATTAGGCAAATTTGCCTGTTTGTTCTTCGACTCTAAATAAACAAACAACAACAAAGTGTTCAAGCAAAGGACTGACTCACCGCTGTAGCACCGAGGAGGAGGAGCAGCTCATATTGGTGAGCACATACACCGATATATTCGATGACATCCCCAGCCGTATAGTAGCCATCTACAAAGAGAAACAAGCATGAACATTGCCATACAAAAACTTGGGTTCATTGACGCAGTGTTCTCTTCACTACCACTAGTAGTGTGCATGGCTAGTGGTAGAGTACTTGACCGCACACAACACCTTGGAGTCATGAGAACTGCGTGACTGCCTGGATAGCACCCAGTGGCCGCGTGACTGCATCACGGCCACCCACCGTGTGCAATTTCGAGTGTGCATTTGCATTGTGTGTGTGTGTGGCATGGCCACGAACACACACCTGGGCGTGCTGCTGGGTTCGCCGGGCGGATTTTCACCATTCACAGCAGTGCGGTCTCTGCAGACCCGGCAAGTCTGTACCGTAATTCCGCGCATATAAGCCCATGGGCTTATATGTGAAATAATGTAGTTTGGGGATAAAATATCCAGTAAAACATGTTCGTTTTTAGCCCATGGGCCAATATTCGAATTTTGACGGTTCCCGAAAAAGTACAAGTCCGTGGCCATAGTGGGTGTACCATACTCTACTGGTAAACTGCACTGACCTGCTGTACCATGGTACTGAGGAAGAGTCCATATTGTGAAAAATTCTACTTGATACGCGAGTTTCATTTGTGTCTGTTTATTAGCCCATGGGCTTATAAACGAAGGTGGGCTTATATCCGGATATAGGCCCGTGGGCTTATATGCGCGGACTTACGGTATACGACGATGCCACTGAGTGGGCTTTCTGTTGGTTATGCTGTAGCCTCTGCAAAGACAACGCTTACAGTGGAACGCTAATCTCCAGCACGGAGTCGCAGCGCACAGCGGGACGACACGGGCAACTGCAACGCTAAATCATGTGCCGGGTTTCGACCAAGGGCTGCCTTTTACAGTCACCCCTGGGGCAGGACCGATTTATACACGCTCGAATATATGCACATGCGGCATCACTTGTCCGGGCCATGTTTTATATGCACATGCGGCATCACTTGTCCGGGCCATGTTTTATATGCACATGCGGCATCACTTGTCCGGGCCATGTTTTATATGCACATGCGGCATCACTTGTCCGGGCCATGTTTTATATGCACATGCGGCATCACTTGTCCGGGCCATGTTTTATATGCACATGCGGCATCACTTGTCCGGGCCATGTTTGGGTCAGCATGTACAGGTTGTGACTACCATCATGAGTTGCATAAAGCACGGATCACACATAGGACTTCCAAGTCCAGGGTCGAACCGCACATCGATCTGGCTACTAGGATCTTGCGGCACCGTCGTCATATATCGTGCTCCCTGACATCCAACTACCTCACCTCCACGGACTATCAGGGAAACCAGGTTAGGACGGTGTGCTTATGCACACATACAACTACATGTACACAAGACTACCAAACAATAAGAGGACGGGAAAAGTGTAACTCTGAGTTTCACGCACTAAGCGATCATCAGAAAACAGTAACAAGACTACCATGGATATCATGATTGACAACCTGTTGTCTTCCGATCCGCTGCTTAAAGGGGAAGTTAAGGCTAAAATCAAAATTTCACCAGTTGTAGTCTTCGGGGTGCTGAGTCAAATGGTCGTGGTTCGAGGAAGCTGAGACGCTCCCTTCCTACTTTAATCCCAATCGAACTCGCGCACTTCCAACGAAACTGGGTGACTGCGCCCTACTAGATGGGGATTAGTATTCAAAATGTCACTAAAAGCGCCATTTCGTTCTTATAAAAGCACGGATGACCGCAATTGGCCCATATGTTGTAGTCTTTTGGACGCTGAGTCGACTGGTTTTGGTCCGAGAAAGCTGCGATGCAGCGTTCCTCCTTTATTCCCAATCGAACATGGTTGAACAAGCGGTCACGTGCTCCTGGGTGCCCAAATCACCGGGTCACCGCGCCAGCAGGCGACAACTTTCACACCAAGGTTCAACTCGAGTTACAGGACTGCACCCAAAAAAGGTCAAACAGGCTAGTAAGTTGTACCCTGCAGGCACCGTGACCAGGTGACTGGTGTACGCTCCTATTTTTTTTTTCAAGCCATAACCTAGGATTCGAACCCGCACTATCACCCTGCATGCATTCCTCTGATACAATTCGCATACATACTCATTCTTCCAAGTAACAGTTGCTTCACGTTTATATAATGATCTTGCATTGGAAAGCCCTATTTGAATATTGTGGCCAGCTGTCTTTGATGGTGCGGTACGGGATAGTGCCAGGCATGCCGACGGCACAAACACACACATACGGAATTAAAGCTGTGTGGACCCAGGCTAGCGCCAGACGTTACTGAAGTAACGTCTTGTGCATAGCTACGGGAATAATACGGTATTCTATTCATGCACTTGGACGCGGCACCACTAGTCACGAACGCGTATATAGCAACTTCCGTGATATAGAGAACCATTGTCCATGTCCCTCAGGCGCGTAGCACAGGTGGGGGGGGGGGGGGGGGCTCCTAAATATCTGGACCTACATGTAGCCTTGTAGGTTTTGCATGCACGTACTGGCCATGATGACAAGCACCAGCCATCCTACCTAGCCTACGAGTATGATAATGCAGCTAGCTAGCGAACTACAGCCATGCCCCCTCCCCCCTAAGGCTGTGTTTACATGAGAAATTTCAACCCGGGTTGAAAGTCTGTACGATAGACAAAATAGGTGAGCGTTTACATGATTATGAAGACAGTTGACCCGGGTCAAATACTGATATGCCGCCAAAAGTCCACTTCTAGAGTCCTGTATGCCACAGTATGGTAATAATAATAATAATAATATCTTTATTAGGATGACCCAGAGGCTTGTCGCCTATCAAGGGGTTCACCGCTTTGAAGGATGTACATGTACACGTATGAGCTAAAGTGAAAGTAGTGAAAAGTTGTGCAGCGTGAATGCGTTGGGGAGCACACGGGGGGGGGGGGGGGGGGGTTATGTACATGGCGTAGGCATACCGGAGAGCGAAGCACTATGTTTGCAAGTGAGTTTGCGAAGCTCATTCTTGAAAACAATAATGGATGGTTCTGCAGTCAGTCTTGGTGGGAGGCAGTTCCATAAGAGGGAGGTTTGGAAGAGAAACAACGATTTTGATGTGGTCTTTGCTTTAGGGAGAATAATTTTGTTAGGTGGTCACGTGAATCCTTTCACGCGAAATTATTTGCATGTACCTGTCCCCGGGGAAAATTGCGGAAAAAAATCGCAAAAAACGCGGGGAAAAACGCGCCATAATATGGCATAATTTGCGGTGAATTTGCGGTAAATATGCGGTGAATAATATTGATGTGCGCAATTTTCAGTGAGTATGTAGTGAAATCAATCAGTTACAACTCTCTGGTGTAAGCACTCGTCATATTTGAGTAAAAAGCCGCCACGATGAGACGTTGCTGACCGTACAGTGCACTGTGTACATGTGTGTACGTGTAGTGTAACAAAAAAGTTCAAAAAACGCGGGGAAAATTGCGGAAAACGCGGTCTTTTAAAAAATCGCAAAAAACGCGGAAAAAAACGCGGCCGCGGAATTGCAATTTTCCCCAGGGACAGATGTACAGTGCTGTTCAAACCTGGCGTGAGACACACACGGAAGTACAACTTCTTCGACCCGGGTCAAGCGCAATGCGTCATCACGCCATTCATTTTGTGTACATGGCGGGTTGAAAGCCCCATGCAAACACAGCCTAAAAAGTAATGGGGGCCCAGCAACGCCTCTGCCCCTGGTTGTACCCATACAAAATGAACCGTATCGTGTAGCAGGGTTCTAGCCAGGTCAAAATAGTAGGGGGGGGGGGGGGGGGAGGCAGGGAAAACAGTTACCCCATAACCAATTTATTTTCCTTTTCAAGTGTAACTGTCTTGCAATGCGAAATGCAACGTACGGTGCAAACACCTGACATCACCCCAGACAAAATTTAATGTGCCTTTATGAACCCTTTATAGTACTGACTATCGACTGCATTTTCGTTGAATGGCATGAAAAAACACAAACATCGCAAAATGAGTAGGTGGGGGGGGGGGGGGGCACTTTTTCACAGGGGAGATGCCTTGGGCCGTATCATTGGTAAACCAAAAAGTTCAAAAAAAAAGACAGTAAGTTTGGACATGAACAATACCACGTGTACATATACATGAAAAAACAAGATTAGTTCATGTTGATCAATTCGTAGTTGGTGAAGAGGCAGCAATAATACACGAACACACAGACACACGACCAGTGCATGCAGTCACATGTATTGTACTATTCATGATACTAGTACAAAAGTTTTCTAGTACTCATTATAATACCACACATGCACAGCACACTGTTACTACCTACGGCTAAATCGATGGAGACCTTTGAATAATAGTCTGCAACCCAACTCTGAGACATTTAGAAATTGACACGGACACAGATGCGGGACTCACTAAGGGAGCAAGGCCGAAGGAGCTGCATGCTGAGGCTGCGTGGCCTACGCCTATGGCCTAGCCAAGACAGCACCTAGAGTAGAGGTGAAGATGGCTCCGCATCGCCAGCTATATCTCCTATTTCCTTTCACATGGTTCCGTCAAGTGTTCCGCGAACCTGGGGAGAATTATTCCTCTTCCTTGATCATTTGTTGAATTCGAGAAATGTCTTGAGCGAGATTCTCGAACTGCTCCACACTCAAAGATATTCCTTTCTTAGTCGGCACGAAATTATCCCGTTCTCCCTCGGCCTTAGTGAATTTCCTGATGTCGATGTAGACTTGGTTGTTTCGGTCGAATTTCTCTACTTGCACTTTCAGGCACTGATCTACGCCACGATGAAGCTCCATAATGGAGGCACAGCGTAGCTGGATTCCAGCAGGGCGCAGAGCGCGAGCACACCTCAGAGCAAGACTCATGGCTGTTTTCAGAAAGCTTGAGAGGAAATGATAAAACAACAGAGCTAGAGAACTGCTTTTAGTCTTGCTTTGTGTGAAGAGAAAACACGAGAGTACGAGTGGCGCCATCGCCGGCGTGCATGGCCTGCCTGACTTTCCCGCCAAAAACATGATCACGTGGCCATACTAGGATCGCAACAT